GGGGTATTGGCCAGTCCCGACGATGGTGGGAAATTGTAAGGGCCTGAGATTTGGCTGGCTCGAACTGCACTTTCCAATCCGAGCCCCAACTGGATACTAGGTCGACAGCAGCCTGGAGTACTCTAGCGTTGTCAGGAACAGCAGCGAGCGTTGCAATTTCGGCGTATAGGGTTGTGTCATCGGCGAATGAGGCAAGGTTGGAGCCGATTGGGAGGTGGTCTTCAAGGTCGTTGACGTAGACCAAGAATAAGGTGGGCCCCAGGATACTGCCCTGTGGCACCCCAGCCTTAACTGGGCGTCTGGCTGATGTCTGGCCGGAGATGAGGACTTGAAGTGTGCGGTTGCAGAGGTAGTCTTGGAGCCACCGATGCAGGTCTCCCGAGATGCCATACACTCTAGCCTTGTGCAACACACCAGTGTGAGACACCCGGTCAAATGCTCCAGCAATGTCGATGGCCAGCACTCGAGAAGCTCCTTTATCTCCGGCGGTGTGCACCCACTGGTGGTGGAGAGCAGTCAGCAGGTCTGCTGCACTGTGGCCGCGACGGAATCCAAATTGCCGTTCTGACAGGACGTGATTCGTCTCCATGAAGTTGCTCATTGCCCTGTTGACTATGGTCTCCATGACCTTGGAGAGGATGCTCAGTAACGACACTGGTCGATAGTTTGATGGCGACGATTTAGACTTGCGCTTGTGGACTGGAACTACGTTTGCAACCTTCCACTGTTGTGGCTGGATACCGGAGCGAAGACAGCATGTAAATAGTTTTGAAAGCGGCCGTGCCAATTCTGCAGAGCAAGCTTTCAAGACGCGGGCAGGTATCCCATCTGGACCAGTGGCCTTGGTGGGGTTGAGCTGGCGGAGAGTTCGCTCGACTGTGGTTTCGCGAAACCGGACGGTGCAGAGGTTGCGGTCAGTACGTGGTCGGACGTAAGGAAATGGAGCGGATAGGTCGTCTGCCCCTAGACTGCATTTTTTGGCGAAGTGTTCGGCCATGCACTCTGCTTTGCTGCGGTTGGTGTCGTGCTCCGTACCATCGGTGCTGCGGAGAGTAGGTATGGATGGGCTGTTTCCGTGGCCAGAGGCCTTCTTGATGGTTCGCCACCATTCACCAGACGCCATACACCCAGAGGCTAACTTCTGCGCCAGGCTTGCTGTGAATGCCTGCTTGGCAGTTGCCAGGCAATGGTTAGCCGAGTGCTTGGCGACATTGTAACGGGCTTGCAGCTGGGCACTTGACCGGTCGGCGCAGAGTCTCCTCCATGCTCTTTGTTTCTGTGCTACAGCCTCAGTGCATTCCGGTGTCCACCAAGAGGGGTTAGATGGTTTCATGCACAACTGCTTAGACGGTATGTATCGGCGCATTCCTTCCAGAATATTCTGGGTCAAGTGCATACACATTGCATCAGGATCATCACTGACAGTGGACTGCCAATCTGTTGTTCTAAAGAAGTGGCGGAGTCTGTCCCAGTCTGCGCGTTGGTAACGCCAGACAGTTCTGGTCACTGGTGGTTCCTCTGCTGTGCTTACATGAAAGTCAGCTAGGACACAGGCATGGTCAGAGTTTCCCAGAGGTGCTAAGGTATTGACGGTCGCATCTCCCGGTAGGTCAGTCATTATTAAGTCGAGTGGGTTAAGGCCTCTGGTGGGCTCATGCACGTGCTGCTCCAAGCAGTGAAAAGCACACATGTCTTCAGTGTACACACCTGCATGAGTTGTCTTGGTGCTGCCGAGCCAATCCGCGTTGTGTACGTTAAAATCTCCAGCCAATACCACATATTGACAAGATTTACGGGCCAGGTCAATGCCAGCACTGATGGCTTCAAGGGTACTGATGTCATTGTCGTGGCAGGAGCCAGAGCGATATGCAGCACACACAGCCACTGACTTCTTATCCACAGTTCGGACACTCAGCCATATTAGCTCCTCATTACCAACCTGGATGTCATCGAGTTCTCGGAGGGCCAAACTGGCTTTAACCCAAACCGCAACTCCTCCTCCATGAGCTGTTCGATCCTTCCGCAGTGGGGAGTAGTACCCAGGCAAGGACAGTTCGGAATCAGTAGCCTTCTCAGGGGTTAGCTTGCTCTCTGTGACAATGGCAATGTCAGGTTGGTGAACGTGTACAGCATGGTGAAAGTCACCAAGTTTACTCAGTAGTCCAAATGTGTTCGTCAGCAGGATCCGAAAGGATCTAATTGGAGCTTTGAGCTTGAGTGTCGGAGGACTCGGAGAGAGCGTCACTGTGTGAGCCGGAAAAGGTGTCCCCCTTTAGAGCATCACTGAGAGTGTCACTGTGTGAGCCGGACAAGGTGTCCCCCTTCGGACGCTCACGGTGGCGCCAAACCCGCGCGTACAGTGGGCGAGGCCAGAAGTTTGGAGCAGTGGCGATTTCAAGGTCAGTCGCATCGATCATCAAGCGGGCAGACACTTTCCCATCTTCTGTGGTGTGTATGCTGCACTGGTGAACCTTCACCGGTTTGTTTACTGCTGCAGAGCGTTGCTCAGTGAATTCCTTGACACTTTCTTCACTGCTATGTGAGTTCAAATTGCCCACATAGATTACGGCTTTCTTCACTCTGTGAGGTTCGTTTGATACCAGTTTCAACGTGTCATCCGTGATTGGCTCTAGCTTCAGTGGCTTGGGCTTGACAGTGGGCCGCTCAATTGCCTGGGACTTGTCCTCATCCTCCGTTGACGTTTCATGGTCACTGGCAGGGTCACCCACGCTACGGGAAGTGCTACGGTGTTCGTCTGCATCAGTGGTACACGTGGCAGCCTGGCCTGCGCGAGTACGGGTACGCTTGCTGGTCCTTCCCGCTGTACTCTCCATCGTACGCTGGCTGTGCTGGTTGTGGGCAACTGCTGGAGGAGTCAGGGGAGACTGAGCACTTGCTGCGACAATGGCGGACTCCCTGAGGGCGACAACCTCCTCGTTCAGGCCTGCAATTTGCCTCGATAAATTATCGATCCTATTCTTTAGTCGTGTCTCGCGGTCTGCGGACTCCGTCACAAATGTTGCCAGCGTCTTTACTACGTCTAAAATCGAAGACTCGATCCCGGGGAGGGAGCACAACAATTTTACCTCCGAATCCGTCAGCCCGCGAACGGCAGCTTTTGCTGGAGGCATGGCGGAGGTAGGCCAAAGCTATCCGATGTCTACCTAGTTTCCTACTACTACTACTATACCTAATGTTTGAAACCAGGCCGGCCTGATGCCGGTTTCCTGGCGAGAAACTGTGGGAGCCTCAGAGCGCAAAAACCTGCACCCTGCTCCAAAGTGTGAATTTTACATTATGGCTGGGGTGTGTCCCCAGCAACCGTAGCGATAGTGTTCATCCATGGGGAAATGTAGCAAACGCCTCAATCATTCCAAATTCATCCATGACGAGAGAACAGTATCCTGCCAACCGTGGTGTTTCTCAGGGTTCTGTACTTAGTCCGCTTCTGTTCACCCTGTCTACACGCTCTCTTCCAACATGCTTGGCTTTCTCCACTAGTCAACTCTATGCCGATGATACAAATGTCTATGTTGCAGACAAGACTGCCGACGCAGCCATTGAAAAGCTTGAGAAAGACTTGCACTCAGTCAGCGAGTTTCTGCACTCCAGGGAACTCGAATTAAACCCAGCAAAGACTCAGCAAAGACGGAAGCCCACCGTACAGGCATCCCGTCAGTTGCGGTTCTGTGGCACTGTGGTCGAACAATCATCTTGTGCTAAGTATCTCGGCATCACTATTGATGAGCACTTGACATTCTGTCAGCAAGTTGATGCACTCCGAAATAAGGTCAGTGCAAAAGTGAATGCATTTCGGCGCTGCCGCACCATGTTGACCAATGCAGCCAGACGCATATTTTATCTCTCTTTTGTCCAGTCTACACTGGAAAATGCAAGCAATGCTTATGTACACAGTCTGCGACAACATGAATATGATTCTCTCACTCGTATCTCTCGCCGTTCATTGTGCACTGTATTTGGCTACCCACTCACCGCAGATGTCCAGTGTATTCTGTCTGGAAACAACCTCACACCCTTCACTATCCGTTTCTCCCGTAAACTGTATCTTCTTGTATTCAGATGCGTTCATTCTTCTGCCAGCTCACTTCCGTGCCGACTTTTCTGCCTTCTTGCCAATTCTGAGGCACGTAGCCGCACCTGCACAAGGTCTCAAGTCTCGCCTGGACTTGTACTGCCACGAGACTCCTCTCGATTTGGTTATTCCTCTCTTTCTTATTTAGCCGCTGACGGCTGGAACTCAGTTCAGGCATCGGTCCGCCTTGCTGCTTCACCAAGTCAATTTCGTATCGCAATCCTAGATTGGCTAGGGTACCCCGTAAGGAGACCATAGGTCTGTGGGGACTGCCCTAGAGAGATATGAATAAATACTATACTACTACTATAAAAGACATCTGAACGCATTTGTCCATAATATGAATGTTTTGTCCTTATTTTCTTCAGAATATTTGAATTATATGCTGGCTTCATTCCAATATTCCCTTTGTCACTCAATATGCCATATATAAACTGTCTCACAAAAATATGCGGAAATATGCGCAAGCATATTTGGTCGAGGCCTATTGTGCACTTACAAAAGGAGACTAACCAAACTTTCCCGCAACAAATCCCTTTCTCAAGCACGCCCGCACTCATACACGCATGCATGCACACGTACAGAAAAGCACACGCACGCACGCATGCACGCACGCACGCACGCATGCACGCACGCACGCACGCACGCACCCACCAACCCACACACGCACACGCCCACACATACACACACGCACACATACACACACACATTCAGGAATAAGCAAAAGCGCTGAAAACCGGCAAGTGTCTCATCATATCATAATGAACACAAGGATATGCTTCTTGTGAACTTGAAACACAGAGGCAAGAAGACCACTGATATCCTATCCCTTCCTCTAACAGCCACTAATTGTGACCAAGCAGAACAAAACAAATATCAAACCACCGCATCACTTCTAGCTACTTACGACTCTTTTTCTTGTTGATATCTGCAAAATTCAGCGCGGCCCACAATTAAACGGATGATCCCGGTCATGTAACACAAAGAGAAGAAGATAGAAGTCATTGGTAAGCAACAAACCTTACAACACTACAATGTGCATGTACACGTAGGTATGCTTATGACATAGTCGTGGACAAATAAATCAAACCCATGAGCCGAAATCAGCGCCAAAGTCCTTGTGGTCCTCAGAGAGGTTCTTGGACAGTGCATGATGTACAGTAAAACCTGTGATTAAAGACCACCGTGGTTAGTGACCGTTGGGATGGTGCGACCTGACGTGAGAACGATTGCATCCTCGACACGGAATAATTATATCTTTACACACACACACAAACACACAAACAGAAATACAAACACACAAACACAAACACACACGCAGAAAAAGCAAAAGTGAAAGAGCACACCTACATGTAACAAAGATGCTGGACAGAAATTGGGACCTTGAGTCATGCCTCACTCATTGCATGCTGCTATACACCCAATAATACAGCAAAATGTAATGTACTGGTCATACGTGCACATGTATAGCGACCACACAAGCAATAAGTGATACTTCATCCGTGCCATTAAAATTGTCGCTTCGCACATCGCAATGTTTGTGATTTGCTCGTCTTAGTCAGACTGTCAGAATCGCTGTTTTCTGTGTTCGAACATTTGTGCGACCCCTCCTGCGCAATGTCTACTTGTTACTGAAGCCGCGGTGGTCTCAGACTTTGTCGGACCTCTGTTCCGCACCAAACAAATTCATCTCACTCTGCACTATTCCGCCCCAGAGCGCGTGTTGTTGTTCTGGAGTTCGTGCCGTCCCACATCGTTCGCGTGGCCATATATCAAGACTGCAAGCTCGGGTATAAGAATCCTGGTATCTCTTCTGAATTCGAAATGCTGAAGTTGACGATGGCAAGAACAAAGTGTTCTCAAATTCCAAAAATGCGCTACTTGTGGCCCGTATTTGTGGTCCACTTTCACGGCAATAACACACACACAGAAGTCTCTGCTGTGAGCACGGTGGCTCGGCAATAGGCCGTTGGAAAGCGGACCATCTTGCTGCGAAGGTGGCAGGTCTGAAAACGCCAGTAAAATCAGCGAAGCGCTTGCCAAGGAAAGAAGGTGTGGAACTGCTTACCCTATCCCGCTGGAAGGTCGTTACAGTGCACTTGAAAAATGCTAGTTTGCTGTCCTCGCCTGCCACCTGGAGGCATGGATCGCTTGAAAACGAAGTTTCTTGAACTGAATTTGAACGTGCGTCTTTTTCTGCGTATTGCTGAGTGCTGAAGGGCCTGCCTCAAACTCTGATGAAGACGTCGACTTTAGCTGCAAATGCAGCGAAGCGGGAGGCCACAAACTAAAGCTTGGTCCGTCGACAATGCTCTGCCTCATTTTCTACTTGATTTCTTTGCCCTTCGAGTGGACAAAGTATATTTGAAAATCCCTCTGGGAAGCAACAATTTTAATGACACGGAGGAAGTACTACTACAATACTGTTGTGCACCGAAGAACGGAGCGGCGAAGAACGGCAAGGCTAAAATTTCACCAATTTTTAAGAACGGTCTAGGCTGGATCTTTTTGCAGATAAGGACGGATACCGTAATGTACACTATAATGTACACTCAGACGTATAACTCTATAATAAGTGTTAACGAAGGTTTCAAACAGGGGCGTCGCACGTGGTATGACCACTACGACCATGGTCGTACCGCTTTTCGTCCACGATGGTCCACTCAAGTCATCCAAAAAACTTTAAAAAAGCAATAAAAAAAACTCAAGGATCTTCGGACTTGTACAAAACATCGCAACTTTCATTGCAAGGAGCATATTTGGTTCAGACTTGATGCCTAGCAGCTAGCTATTGCCCAAGACTCCAGGCGGCTATCCATTGCGAAAGGGCGGTTGGAGTCAGGAGTAGAGACAACCACTTGATGGATTCCTCGCGGACGCACTCACTGCAAACTAGACGGAAACAGCGCTGGCGTCGATCACTGGGCCCAGAACTAAAATTTTCCAAGATCTACCTTGTTACAATGGTGATCAGAACGGTCAAGAGACACTACAGGCATGTCACTTAGCAGCTACAACAATTATTACAATGATTATTCTTTCCACAACGACACCTACATGTATGTACCTAGTACCTCTGACTCCTGATGAATTATTATATTATTCTACTGCAAGCTGATGCGAAAATGCATTACATGTCATGTACACCTGCGAACGCCGCATTTGTCAACGGAATAGGGAAGTGCTTCATTCTCCGAAGTTGAAAAGTGTTTGGACTGCTGCTCTACGGCGGCAGAACATTCTGCAGCTGTTCACCGACACAACCCGCTTCACCAAACGACATACGATTGTTTCGTTCTCCGAATTTTCTGGTAGCAGCAACAAGAATTGCGTCCCGACGACAGGACGAAAGTCCTGTTGCCACGAAGACAGAGAAGATTCCGCAAGCCCTTTATTCTGCTTACAGTTTTGTAGCTCTCCGGTCCACTGGCGGATCTTTCAATCCCACCAAACAAAAAAAGGATCTATGAATAGTACCCCATTTTTTCGTGCTGGGGAATGTGCCTACTCCGAAACCGGCCCGACACATACTACTGGCGATCTGTGCAAGTCGAACAATAAGCTGGCTAGAAAATCAAAATTTCTGATGTTTCTTAGGCGAGCACAAGCCAATATTTTAGAGTTATATCTTTCAGTGCTGGACAGTAGCGACCTTCACGGGTAAAGGAAGACCAGTCGTGGCCAAGTACGAAAAATGTCCAGGTTGGAAGGCCCACCAAACACCCGCTCAAGAAGATAGAGCTCGGCACAGCAAGAAATGCGCTGTGCCCCAAGACCCAACCTGGACAAGAAGAGTTCGCTGTGGAAGACATTAGTCTTCAGTAGTAGCTGCCTTCCGTTTACGTGGCACAGTTTTCGGCCTGAGAGCTGCGTTTTGTGGCAGCGTTGCCAATATTTAGAGTTTTATCTCTCAGTGCTGGACAGTAGCGAACTTCACGGGTAAAGGAAGACCAGTCATTGGCTGTGACGGGAATGGTCTTATTAGAGACTGCTTCTCCCGTTCCCGTTGGCCTTCCAATCACATAATTACTTACACTCTTTCTGCATGCTCCGAATTATTTATTACTATTCATGCATAGTGGTATTAATGGACAACTATTACTCTACACACTTTATTTCTACACATCCTTATTCTGCCTCCCACACCTACTCTAAACACAGCGGGGAGTCGAATACGACTCCGTGCATTTGATTATGAAAAGATGCAGCTGGTCACGACGAGGGTTTCCCCTCAGTTCTTGGTTAGAGTGTGATTGATTTGTCGAGTGAGCTGTAGCCATTGAAAGACTATGCTCGGCCAATCGTCCAATTATGCTTTTGTTGAATACGAGAAAGACGACTGACGACTTATTATCCAGACAGTCATTATGGCGGGAATAGGTAGGTTGGTGGAACGACATAATTTTATTAGAGACGGGACAAGAGACCAAGACGAACGAAATGACTACATGGTGATTATTGAAGAGTGAAAAAAGAGATCAAGTCTGAACGGCAAGGTAAAGGGCCTGGGTAGCTATGGCAAATATGGGCGCGCAAGTAGCTACCCAGTTTTACTCAAAAAATTTTCTAACGTTTTTGCATTGAATTCTGCATAAATCCATCTGCCTGTATCCACTGTCATCTCAGTTTCTGAAAATATGTCACTAAGGGTGATTTTCGCGTGTGCTGACTCAATTACTTACACTCTTTCTGCATGCTCTGTATGGTGATCCCGAATTACTTATTATTATGTATACAATAAATGAGGAGGCCGAGGGTTTATGACCAATAAACCCTCGGCCTCCTCATTTATTGTATTTAGAATCAGCCAGTAAAAACTCCTACTCAATCTCCAACAACAAAATTAGTGGACAGCTGTTATTTGTGTTGCTATGACAACTCGTGTGCTGGACGAGTATTTGTTGTCATTGGTTCAATTTCTTTTACTCTTCATAGGGTATCAGATCATTTTCCTTATTCGGTCTATTTATAACCAGTATATATAATGAGAGTGTGGGCTGTCTCCATGGTTACCGGTGTTCATTTCATAACTATAGCCACTTCTCCTTGTTAGACCTTATCTGGAAGGCCCATTCTTGCATATTCCAACAGCAGCCAAGGGAGCTAGCTCTCTTGGTTATGCGGACTGCGTCCGATCCTAAAAAGCTGTTTTTATGAACTGTTTTTATGAAATGTTTTTATGAACTGTTTTTATTGGATAGGATATGATTATGTTGAATAAACGAGGTTTGTGTCAATGGGAGATTGCCTTGGAATTTTTACGAGTTGATTCTAATCATGCATAATGGACAACTATTACTCTACACACTTTATTTCTACACATCCTTATTCTTCCTCCTACACCGTACTCTAAACACAGCGGGGAGTAGAATACGACTCCGTGCATTTGATTATGAAAAGATGAAGCTGGCCAAGACGAGGGGTTCCCCTCAGTTCTTGGTTAGTCCAGAAAAAGAGTGGGATTGATTTGTCGAGTGAGCTGGGTTTCTTACATTGGCCAAGTACGTAAATATTGATAATGGCACTAATTTTGACCTGATATCTCTAAATTTCAGGAAAGCATTCGACCACTCTATACTCCTAAAGAAATTTGGTAAGATTGTGACAGCTTCGTCAGTAAAATGGCTGAAGCGCTTCTTAGGGGATCGACAAATTGAAGTGAAGGTACATAGCACTAAATCGAAGAAGCGGAACATCAACTGCGGAGTGCCTCAAGGTTCCCACCTTTCACCACTCCTATTCCTACTCTATATAAATGATCTGCCCAACGCTATGCAACATTGCACACAATATCTATTTGCAGATGATGTCACCCTCCTACTGGCTTACAAACCTGAAGACACCCTCGCCAGTAGAGCGAACATGCAGTCTGATCTCGATGCATGTCAAACATGGGGCAGGCACAATGGAGGTGAATTCTCAGCAAGC